ACTGTTCCTTCCTGATAACATGTCCCATGTACGAGAGATAAAGTAGTAATATGGATACTGTTCTTCTAGAGTTTGTCTCCTCACCAATAGAGAAAAGAGCTTTTTGGCTCTCTCAACACGAATGACAATTTTTAAAGTGAATATGCTGAGGAGGAATCATTGGACCTAAAGAAGTATGTAATGAGATCCACATCCTTAAGGTGCCTGACACTCGTTTCTCAAGTTCACAAAAGCAATTCCCTACCACTGAACTTCATTCTCTCAGGGGGCTCCATGAAGGCTAACAAATAGGACACATGTGTAAGCAACAGTCCCATGGACGGGTGCTTGTAAACAGCCAAGGCCAAACCGGGCAGATTCTCCACTGGACAAAGCAAACTTTGAAGAAACTCCTGGCTTGAACTCTTGAATATCTTGATAGTGGCTGAAACAGTCGTTAGTGCCTGAATAGGTCAACAGGCATCATACATAACATCATAGTACGAAAGATGGAGATAGTATCGCCAGCCGTGATGAAGGGGTTCCTGAGAACCTGTTTGAGAGAATCTGTCTCAGCAGTGCTTCTCCACCAGGATCCGGTCTGTCTCTTGCATGCTGGTATCCGGCACTTGCCTGTCCAAGTAACCACGTGGCTAGAAGGAGTCTCCCTGGCCACTGCCCCAGTCAATTTGGCCTCTGCTACTCCTTAGATGGCACATAACAACAACAACAACAACAACTCCTCGGAAGGAAGGTTGGGCAATCTACTTCCGTAGTGATACCGCCTCGGAAACCCAAGGAGGGGTCACTATGAGTCGGGTGGGACTCGAGGACACATAACAACAACAACCTCCTCTGGGCACCACTTAATGGCCCACTTGAAGCACTGGCCTCTGTTTGCCACAAGCCTCTCTTGGGCCATCTTGGTAATCTCCACCTCCTAAAGCCACCAAGCCTCTCTTTCCAAAGTGATACCCTCGCCATATAGGCACCACCAGTGTCCCTGTGACTCCCTTTTGAAATATTTCTAAAGCACAATTCCACACTGTAAGTTGAAACTTCAGATAAGGTGACTATTTTCTACGTGTAAAACCACATAAATGAAAACTTTTTAGAAATTGATTTAGAAATGAAAATGATTCTTAATAAAAAGAAAAGTAGAAACACTGTTAAGTCATTGGAAGGACTTGTAAACCTCCTGTAAATTAAAAGTTGGGATACAGGTAAAACTTCTGTGTGATGAAAATGCCTTAAATTGAAAGCCACTTACTCACATAATGGATAGGGGCTCTTATGCCACTGTGCAGTACGTTACCTCACTGGGGTCAGTGAGTAAGTGAGCAGAGGGTCAAGGAAAAGGGACATGTTTCCATAGCACCCCACGGAGGGTGGAATACCCTTGCATTTAAGAGTGAAATTCTCTCAATAAATACATGCTTTCAAATTTTTAAGTAACAGAAGTGAACAAAAAGCATTTGCCCCATCTGAGTCATTTAATTTCATTTTTTGTTTTTGTCTTTAGCAAAACTATTCATTCCATAAATAATAAACACAGATGTGGCTATACCCTTGAAT